GGGTCTTCACCACGTCAAAGGGCAGAGTCAGGATGGCTGCCACCTGGTGGGAGAGAGAGGGCTTGGCTTTTTCCCAGGACCCCCCACTGGGTCTGCCAGCTTCAGCAGAACTCGCCCCCCACGCCCACCCTGCTCTGCTACCACACCCCACAGGGCCTCCAGAGCATGAGGCAGCCTCCCCATGCCCATCAGCTTGCTTACCATCCCTGAGATTCCGCCAGCCACAAAACTGATGCCCACGGATGTCTGGTCCTTTGGCCTGGGCCCATTCAGCCAGCTCTTCACCAGCTCGTAGTTAAACCAATACAGGGCTTGGGAAAGGGGCAGGCATGAGAAGGGAGGGCTTAGGCACCTAAGATGCCCCACCGTCCCTAAAATGCATCAGGCCATCTCCAGGAATGACCTGGGGAGAGCTGGGCAGACCCCACACCTGCTGAGCTCATGTCACAGATGAGAGTCCCAGGCTCAGTGCTAATATCCGATACAGTGCTCTTTGTGCCTCCTTGGGGACTCCCGTGCCCAGCCCTGCGTGCCAGGGAGCCTACCTGAGAAAGGCACGTCCCGAAGGGCGGTGGGCCCCCAGCCCAGCCACAGGGAGCGCCAGCCGCCCCTAGCCACTGCGGCCTGCACACAAGCGCCCAGCTCCCGATAGGACACGTGCTGAGCCTGTAGCTTCGTCCTCACCAGCTCCAGGGGGCTGACCACAGTCACAGTGCCCACTGTGGGGGGCAGGGGATACAGTAAGGAGGGGCCGGGTGGTAGGGCCTAGGGCAAGCCACCTCCCCCCTACAGGCCGACAGAGGTTGAACCAGGACTGGGTTTGAGCTTGGATGGGGGACAGAGGGAGGTCAGGGGCCGGGACTGCACTCACAGCGGGCCAGAGTGCCAGCCACCATGGGGGCATAGAGGTCGGAGGTCAAGGCTCGGTCACACAGGAAGGTCTTGAGTTGGTCGTAGGAGGTGAAGTAGATAGCAGTGGCCGGCACAGTCATCACCCTGGGGTTGTGGACAAAGGTTAACTAGTCAGAACCCTCCTCACCGTCTCCCCGCCACCCCCTTCGCCCAGCCAACCAGGAGGCAAGACACAGGGGGAATGGCAGTAGCCGGAGGAGCTACTCACAGGGTGGCTGGGAGACCACTCCACAGGGTCCTGGCGCCCTCGTGCCGCACAATCTTCACAAAGGCATCCTGGCCCACCGGGTCCCAGCCAAGGAAGAAGAGTGTATGAGGAAGGCGGCCTCCGGTAGAGCCCTGCTGTCCCTGGCTGCCCCTCGTCACCTGCCCATCCCTTGGTCTGCTGCCCAGTTAAACGGAGCCCCTTAGGAAAGTCCCCGGCACAGCCCCTCACCGTGGTGCCGGTGAATCGGGTGGGGTCATGAAACCAGGTGGCGCAGCGCGCGCTGTGTGGGCACAGGTAGAGGGGCTCCAGGACACCGTTGCAGTACAGGAGGCACTTCCCTGTGGGTTGGAGAGAGGAGGGCACTGGGGGAAGGGGGAGGCATCAGGTAAAGGGTCTGGGACCCTAGAGAGAAGGGGGAGGGGAGGAGCCAGCAGAGGCTGAGGTCCCTGGGTGGGTAGGTGCTCTGGCGGGCGGTAAAGTGAGATGGGTGGGGTGACTGGGATACTTCCACCCCCTAGGGTGCCCTCCCCAGCACGGGCCACTTACATTTGGTGTAGGACATGCTCCAGAGTCTAGAGGGCGGCTTCAGTTCTGCAACACAAGGCAGGTGGTGTCAGGGCCTGGAAGGGTAGCTCCAGGAGGCCCCCTGCCTGCCCTCAAGGCTCTACGGCTTGGCACTCACCGGTGGCCACCGAGGGGCGCTGGGACTGCAGACGCACCTTCACCACGTCCAGGGGCGTCACTGAGGACGGGCAGTGCAGAGGGACCCTTTCAGGTGCGAATCCACTGCCCCCATCCCAAGCAAGCTCCCTACCCTCCACCGGGGCACCTCCAACCCCAGGCCTGCCGGTCCTCCCCGCACCCCGATCCCAGGCCTTACTGAAGAGAGAGGTGACCACTGCCCCAGCGCCCGAGGCCACCATTTGTTGGAGGGGGCTAATGCCCCCCGGGTCCTGGTCAGCCATCTTGTTGTAGTCTGGATCCTGAAAAGCATAAGCCCAGTCACGTGGGAGACCAAAGCACTGAACCGGGCACGTGGGCAGTGGCAGGGGTCCTTGGGGGCCCT